TTTTTCTCATAGCTTTAGATCCTTTGATCATAGGTTCCGTAGTTAATAAAGAAATAGCCTTAACTACTTTTTCTTCAACTATAATAAAGTAAGACTCAATTCCTTTTCATTATATGGCATTATTCTTTAATGTTTGGTCCTCTACTAATTTTTTCATACCACCTTTCTCAACATTAGTCTTCATTTGGCCCTTGTAAGTCTTATCCTACTTTCTTTAAAATATACAATACCATCCTTGATTGCAGCCTTGTAGCTATCATACTCACCATGCTTGTGGTTTGGATTGTCACACCACATATATCTTTTTACAAATCCCTTTGATCCTTCAATTGTCTTTGATGAACTTGTCATGTAGGATTTCTTTAATTTAATCATTTTCACCTTCAAATATTGTATGCTTTTGATTAATTCTTCAAGAGCATCATCCTTTATAGTCTTAATTACTTTTTGAGGTGGCACTAGATTTTGAAATTCAAGCACTAGCTCTACCTTGATATTAAACCACAAGTCTTAATCTTCTGTTGTTTAGCCAAAAGCTCCATTGTCTCTTTTAGTAGCTTCTAATTATTTATAAAACTACTCTTAGATTTATTATCTATCAAATAAAAGAGTATCTTATTCTCAAAATATTCATTAGCTGCTTGCAAGAATAATTCAATTTTTTTTGTTTCCAAGAATTGTCTCTCTTGTCATGACAATTATCCAAACTTAGTTTCAAATTCCTTAATTAACTCATTTGGAGCCATTTGATTTCTCGGCCTTTGCTTGATCCACTCCAAAAAAGTCACTTTAGTCATTCTTATTGAATCTTCTTCAAAAAATTCATCCTTCAAAAGTTCTTCAAATTTCTTCTATAATATAGCCTTAGTATGTAACTCTTATATTCTCTCTCTGATTTTTGGTATCATTGCCAAATCAAATGTGGTAATTATCTTCATTTATGAAACTTGATACACTTCCATTTCATATGTATAAATCCTTAGGAGCTTAAAAATATTCCTTCCATCAAATCTTCTAACCTTATCCACCACTACTTATAAAGCTTTAGTAGTGTTTTTATTTTCTCCATGTACTTATTGTCTCTCTTCCATAAATTGAGCAAATACCATAAATAAATCATAGGCACCCACTCCACCTAGTAATGAAAATCCATGATTTTGATCTCCCATCTTAACTTATTGAAATAATTAGTATCTTAAAGCTTTCTCAATAGAAGCATCAATATGTCAAGATAGAGAGAATTTGCTTCAAGAAAGCACTAGGCTCCTAGCTGTCACTAATTACTTAATCAAGTCTTCAAATAAAAAAGACCAAATTTATATATATATCCTTTCAAAAATATCCAAAATATAATATAAAAAATAAAAAATAAAAAAAACTCTAAATCCTTATAAATCCTTATAAATTCTTATGGGATATTATTTTCAAACTTCAACAACTCATATCTCTCAATTGGACTATTCAAACATACTCAAATATTATATAAAGTATTGATGTACTTCTAAAAACTACCACAACAAATTTCAACTACAAATTCATCATGGATCTTAAGATATTACCAAAACCCTAAAAGTAGCTTCAAAACCTTAATTTTTATATACTTACATATAATTTTCTTTATATCTCACAAACTAAGTACTCAAATATCAAATTTTTTATATATATAGCTTTTTAATACATTATTCCACCTTTTTTAAAATATTTGAGCCAAAAATTCATTCGACAACTTAAGATATGGCTCTAATCATTACTTTGAATAAAATCACTTACTTATTGCCTTTAATTTAAATGTATTGACTTCAACTCTCTATAACTTCTTCATCTAGACTTTAAATATAATAATTTCTTTATAAAAGATGTAAGTCATGAAATTGCCGTTCTAATTGCACCTTTTAATCTCAAAAAACTATTGTAAAATTCCTCGTATGCTCAAAAGAACAATAGTATGTCTTAAAATGATATCTTAACTTCAAGTAGCTATAATTTCTTCAACTTAACTCCAAACTCACTAATTTTTATATCCAAATTATAGTCCAAATCCTAAAACTTATAATTCTAGCTTTTGATTCTCAAATGTTCTTTTGAGGTCACTACAAAATCTTCTCATGGTTGCAGACTATCTCCTAAAAGCCTATTGGGCATAGCCTTCGATCAATAGGGATGAAGATCTTCATCTGTTATCTTCATCCATCCATACTTTACCTTCATCCCTCCAAATAAGCTTCTTAATAGTTTGAATCTTCAACTTTGAGCTCCAATCTTCTCTTATAACTTTATTCTAAATATCTAAATCTTATATAATTTAAACACTATAATAAATATAAATAAACCTCAAAATAATTTTTTCACATCAAAAAGTATGTGACTACAAAAAGTCCAAGTCATGACCTCATTTTGATTATGGGTATTCATTTAGAACTTCATCTCTTAGTCCATCTTAGACTCATGAGCTTTACTGAAACATATTAGCAAATAAAGAAGGAAATGAAGGGTGGATAGAGCCTGCTTATGAATCCAAATTCAAAGAAAGCATTAGGGGTCAACTATACTGAAGAGAGTATAATTTTATACCTCACCAAATTAATGGAGTGAGTATAATTTTATACCTCACCAAATTAATGGAGTGGCTAAGTTCAATGTACATTAAGTCAAAATCCAAACATAAGAGAGTCAAAAAATCAATCATAACTTTATAATTCTAAATTCTAAATCTTCAACTTTTAATTCCTAAATCTTAAATCCTAAATTTTTAGCCTTTGATTTTAAGCTCTAAATATAAATTCTAAATCCTAAATATTTAATCCTAAAATTCTAAATTCTAAACTCTAAATCTGATGTAATTTTTTATAATAGAATTTAAAAATCAAGAAAGTAATTTTTACAAAAATCTTCAAATTTTATTTTAATAATTACTAATGAATTAAAAATATATTTCTAAATATTTTTTAAATTGCAAAAATAAATCAAGACTATTCTATCATCTTTATTTTATATTATATAACAAAAAAATTAATTTAAAAAAGTTTAATCCTAAATTATACATATATTATCAAAAAATCATAATTTTATTTTTTATGATTTTTTAAACTATTAATTTAAATAAAAAAAATTTTATAAATAATTTGCATATAAGATAATTTTTAGGTATTTTATTAAAAATAGATAAGAACTATAAAAAAGAAAAAATATAGATATTTGAATAGAAGCTCACAAATAGTTTTTGTTAGTATTGATAAAGTCAAAAAAATCTTCATTATTCTTTATAAATATTTATTATTTATAGATGCATATTAAAAAGTAATGTAATAAAATACTTCTTAGATTAAAACTACAAATAAATACTACATTATAAGATTTTATCTATGATTTTATTATAAATTTTTGTATAATCAACTATCTATCTAATACTTTGGAACAATGACTGTATAGTGGATTGGACAATATTTTTATTAATATAAATAATATAAAATTGGTAAATATTTTTACCAACTACAAGGACTTATACAAATAGCAAAAAAATTATTGAATGTTATTTTTTCTTCTAATTTGACTTATATTGTATTAGATTCAAATACATGGAGGAAAATTGCCAAATAGAAAAATTAAGATAAATAGAAGTAATTACCAATTATTTTAGTCTAATAAGTTTTTTCAATAATTTTTAATTTATGACTGATACTAATTGGTATTAACTACAATTAGTATAACTACACTTGCCAAATTTTTGTCTTGGATTAGATTTAATACAATTGTTGTTTATGACTAATTTAAATAGAACTATCTTCTTGTTATTTTTTTATGAACTTCTTTTAAATTAACAAAAAGTCTAATTAAAAAGATTATAAACTTTGAATCTAATATAAATTAGTGTGATTTTTTTTCTAATAGTTATTATTAATCTAAAAGATTTTTAATGGTAATAAAATTAAATAAAAAGTAAGCAATCCGCTTCAATCACAAATCCAATTATCTTCTAACTACAGCAATGTCAATTTGCAGTAATATATTAATTAAATCTAATTTAATAAAAAACAAAGACTTCATCATGTTGTTAATACTTATTAGCTGTAGTTTGGGACCTTAACAACATCAAAACACCAATTAGGTAATTACCTATCTTTCATTTGGCTATACAATTCTCTCCAATTTATGCTCTTTGTAGACTGCTTGAAATGATTTACTTCCTTTTTGGTATAACCATGCACCTTCACTTAAAATACTTGAAGACACTTAATTAAAAAGAAGATGCTTTATTTTTCAAGTATTCAATCCTTCTTGGTTGATAACATTCCCTCGACTAAAGAATCTTTTTCCATTGGGAACTTTCTTACTTAATAGTGTGGTTGGTTATAACCACTAATTGTTTTGTAATAACCTATTTGAAAACATATGCTTGGTTAGCAACCTATTGGTAGACTAAATAAAAACTAACTATCTATTTTTGAATTTAAAATAAAAATAATTTTTTTTTTTGACCTATGAACTTAAAACTACAAGATGTTTATAAGAATCTAACATGAATTTTAAGTTTTGAAGTGCAATCACTAAAAGATACAATGGAAATATTTTTTTAAATTTTATTTCAAGTTCAATTTTGGCTTTGCAACCCTTTGTCCTTCTTCCTTTAGCCCCTTGGCCTCTTCCCTTTCTCTCAACTTTGAGCTCCCAATTTGTGTGGACAAGCATGGGCAGGCACATTAAAACAAAAATAGAGTTGTCAAAGATCTATTAATGAATTTTTTAAATTACTAAGATTCTAGTCTGGGAGACATCTAATGCTAGCCCAGAATAAGCACATCTATGATCCAAAATTCACCCATGCACCACAACAATTTCACCAATCAGTAACATTCAATGGTCAGTCGCACAGTTAACAGCCAAAACTCTATTGGCTGCTGCAGGTCTAGATTGGATCAGCATGACATGCATTTATTTGTGATGAGACCTTGCCTTGTATAGTTGTTGCTTCACTGTATATTAGTTGAAATCAAAGAATAAAACCCTATTAAATGATGCCTTGGATGTGTGCAATCTGTGTGGATACATTTAGGTAGCAGTTGTTCTATCAGAGGACTTCAGTTAAGTGGACAATATACTGATATTCCACCCATTGTGCTCCAGAGCAGGCTAGTGTTGCATCAGGCAACAGTATTGCTGGAGAAGCCATTGACCTTATCAGTAGACATTTGTGGAGGCATGTTCCCACGATTGGACCCTCTGAATCATTTGAAGAAATACAGAGGAGGCTTTGATGTCACCAACATGCACTACTGGAGTGTAAGTTTTTCAAGGCAAAGACTTCTTTCTGTGACAACATTGCAGTTGTCACCTTGCAACAATTCTAGGAATAGTCACATGAACTTCCTCTGCTCATGATCCCTTGACCTTTGCATTGTGCCTTCAAAAACAACAAGGTCTAAATGATGCTTTCTCTGTGATGATCAGTTTATTTCCAAGTAGCTTGTCCACAAATAAGATTTTCAGAAGAATTTTACACCACTTCTCTTCTCCACAACCAATCATTCAACATCCCAAAGCAACTCTGACTTGATGTCACCATCAAATTTCCTGCTCCCAAACCTCTGTGATCACTGAGAGGAAATTTTTCTGTGTATGAAAGGAGACCAGTAAAAGATGAATATAGTTAGCAGCATGTCTTGTATTTGTGCTGTGTGAAAGTTTAGGTTAATTTAAAGCCCCATTTAAATCTATTTTCATAAGGTGCTCTTGCTGGTGGATGATTATATTCTCATTGCATTGAATAGCTCCATAATCAACTTGCTCTCATGCAATGTTCCTGTTTCCAATCTGCAATATTTTCTTCTGAATTTGGAAATCCAGTGGTGTGAAAAAATACTATTGGAGGGGGTTGCAATCCTTTTATGTTCAATTTGGAAACTTCACTCTCATAAAATGGTTTCATGGGCTTTGTTGTGGAGTAAACAGTCTCTTGCCTACACAGGAATCTGGGGCTACATAATTGCTGCTTCTTGCCTCATATTTGGAGTTGGGTCAGTCATATGGCAGCACTACAACTGGCGTTATGAGTTGAAGAAAACCACTTTCAATCCTTCTTTGGATAAGCTTCACAGTGTATCTGTGTACTGCATGATACAATTCAGCATACTCCTTTTGTCAGCTCCATCCCACTTCTGGCAGTTATTTCTGTTTCAATTTTGTCATGTAGAAATATGTTTTTTTTTTCCTTTTGTTTCATTTAATGTTTTAACCTGAAAGCAAGGAAGCAATTTGGAATAATATTGATAAATTCAAAATAATTTGAAGTAATCAAAATGTATACCACACTTCAGAGCCATGCAACTGTAGCCATAAAACTAGTAGAAACTGGAAGACTTAAAAAATGCAGATGCTTTGCAGAGGAGCCAGTGGTGTAATATTGTGGGAAAATGATAGGCTTGTCCATGAACTAAAGAAAACTGGAGGGATCTTGGTTAGCACTGTGGACCAAGTCACTGTATGCACATTGCAAAACCCTTACATCAAAGGCAAATTGTATATATTTTACTGGATGATAATTTGAAATCTCCTTATTTCTTCCTACACTTTTCCAGTATTTTGCTAAAAAAACATGTTAAATATTTACACTTTCTTTTTTCTTTTTATTCATTTCCACAGATGTAAGTGATAACTTAAATAGCTTTGTGATGGCTCTTCACAATTATCCCAAATAGAATGGCTTACATTTTTATGTAACTCTTGAGGGTTTTGCAGTTGCAAGTTGATGGAGCTATTAACATGATTCCCTTATCCAACATCAGTCCCATGGCAAATCAGGATATGGCAAAGAGTACCCTCTCTGCCTGTAATAACCTTGGTGACACATTCAGAAATCTTACACAAAATGTTAAATCACACATGTCTCATGCCTACAAAATTTTTGACATTGTGTAAGTATCAAAGGTTCCATCCCCATTTCAAGTAATGAAACGTGTAAATGTAATAAATTGAAAAATAGGAAAAAACTCAACAAAAAATAATATTAAATTTGAAATGCAATAGCTTGCTCATACCTTTGAGGCAACAGATCAACTGCAAACTAACTAAATAAATATTCAAAATTGTTAATTGAGGATGTTTTGTTGATGTGTGCAGAAATATAGTTGTGTCTATGGTTGCGTCTCTGATGATTTTGATGGTGATAATTGGCATTGGTAGACAACTCTTTCTGTTTTCTTTTTTCTTTTTTCATTTTCCCCTTTATCTTGTTTTTATTTTTTTGTGAAAATACTATTTTTAAACAGCACACTGCAAATTGCAAAGGTTTTCTATGGGTTTGAGTCATCCATAATCAAAATTAAAATTACATTCAGAAAAAACAGAGTTTAAATTTTAAAAGTAAATGGTATTTTCCTGCACAATTCCAGCATGAATGTTTTGAAAATCTCAAAACAGGAATTAAAACTAATAATCAAAAATATTTTGGTAAAACCAAATTTATGCATCTTCCATTTAAATATTAAATAACGTTCCATTCCTAAAGCTGTTGTTTTTATATGTGTGTGAATATATTTTTAAATAACAATTGGTGTTTTCAAAGTCAAATTAAAAATATTTCAAAACTTTAAATTTTAAATCAATGAAAAAAACTCAGCATTAAGGTTTCTTATTATATCATGTTACTATTAAATTGGCTTTCAACACGTGTTTTGGGTTCAAAATTTGAATGAAGAATATTTGAACCACATTTAAAGAGGTTTCCAAAATTTTGAAAGTTAACTTGTTTCCAATCAACTATCTTTTTCATAATATTTTTAGTAAAATCAAACCCTAATCCCTGTTACCAGGTTGCAAAAGATTATGCTTTAAATCCAAAAACAAAAATTTAGTTATACTGTTTATTTTCTTTATAAAATAACATGAAAAAAGTATGTATAATTTGTCATAACCAACTGAGTTACTTATTGTAGTAAAAGATTGAACAATTGTCATTTGTACATGATATATAGGAATTTTTAACCAATCAGACCATAATCAATACTTTCAATGATATGCTGTATAACTTTTATACAGTTTTATAATTAAAATAAAATAAAAAAATAAAACATATTTGTCTCAAATTCACTAAAAAAATAATCTTGGTTTATTTTGTTATCTTCTTAATTCTGTTTCACATACATGTCAATTATTTTATCTCATAAAATTTGATGCATATATTGAAATTAGGGAAAAAATTAAGAAATGTTTTATATGAAATTGAGCTACAATTGTTTGAGTGAATTTGGCAGGCAGTATTTTTCAATGCTGGCATACATTTCTATCATTGTATGTTCTTTTCTTGTATTTATTGCTGTGAATGGACTTAGAATTATTTTCCTCATCAAAACTACAATCTTTGAGTAAATCTTGTGTTAAGTTTAAATAAAATGAAGTTGAATGAAAACCAAAGTGTTTGTAATTGTGTGTTTACACATATGTCATAAAAATTGTGTGTATGTGTATGTTATCTTTAAGGTAATAGAGTTTTATGATTGTTTTGGTGTAGTATGTGTTTTGGTGCAGTTTTTACCTTGGTTGCATCATGGATGATTGCTGGAATTGGTTTTGCTGTTGCCATGTAAGTGTGCTTGTTTGAAAAGATGTCATTCAAAAAAATTCAGTACATTTTTATTGTCACTGTTTTCCATTATATAATTTTAAAACATTCTCACACTTAAAGATCTTTTTGGATGAGTATAAAGTTTTGGAATAGCCAACAAAGTAGATAAATACATCATTGGAGGCGGGTGGAAGCTATATCTGGGTTATGGTCATGTGAGAATGCAACACAAAATGCAAACAAAGTTGATAGTGTTGAGGGGTTTATGAATGCAGTGAATGTGTGAGTTGTGTTCACAAGTACTTGAAAGAATTCATTCAAATGGCATGCAGATTAGTAGTGGATGGATGCCAAGCCATGCAATCATACAACAAGAGTCCCCTCAGCTCAAGCATTACACATCTGCTGCCCTGTCTGACGCCACAGAGAGCCACAGAGGTTTTGAGTGGTGTGAAGAAGGCAATAAAGACAGTCATCCACGGCTCTAATTCATGGGTGGACGTGCTCAATATGCAGGAGAGGAAGCTGGTGGAGAGGCACAGGCTGTCTCACCCCACCATTGTGCCACACATCTGTGACCCTTATGGTCCAGAGCCAGAGTTTATCCCTATGGAGTGCAGTCCTGCTGAAGGATCCTTTGTGCAATTTGTTGAGGTATCCATATCTAAATATGATTAACTTCAATCAAAAATGTTAAACATTTCTCCTCATGGATGGATTAATGTACATCTTTAACATTTCAATGCTGATGATGGTTTTGGCATATACATATATATATTTACACACACATTTTAAGTCTATTTAATGTGATATCAATTTTGTACATTAACTTTAAAAAAATAACTTCGGAATAAATTATTAGGTGACTCCAGATTGAATGCTTTACATATATGTTGCAGGATTATAAAAAATATTGTTGCCTTTCAGATGATATAAATGATTGTTTCAAAAAATCTACACCAATTCCAAAATTTGCTTTCTTAGATGCAACACGAGCAATGAATGCAACAAAAAATGTATATATGATTTTACCAACCATTTTTCATATCATTACTTGTGATTTTATGAAATTGATGTTTGAAGAAATTATAAAGCAGCATTGTATGCCATTAAAAAAATGTCTCACAATGCTTTGGGTTTCATTTGTTTCTGCTTCTCTGTTGTTGATGCTGTTGCTATTTTGCATCATATACATTAAGTACAAATTATTCAATACACCCAATTTGATCTCTGATGTGGGAAATAGTAAAAATAAGATAACATTATCTTTTTGTAAACCTGATGTGTAGGAGACTTAAAGTTCATGGAATTGTTGTAACTTATAGAAATATAATTATTAAAAAATATGATGGAAGTATTACAAAATGAAGATTCAATTCTTTTGTTTAATAATCAGTATTCACATATACTCGTGTATTTAAAATGATTGATATTTGCATATCCTTCTTACCATGTCATTAATGCAAGTAATATATATATATATATATATATATATATATATATGTAATAGAAAATAAAAAACTTCAAGCTTAAAACAATATATCATTTTGTGTTTACATTTAGAGGTCCTTGTTTTTTACCAGTTGACTTGATACTATTTTAATAAAATCGTTTGTAATAAAATAAGGTAAATTTATATCATTGCATACAAAATTGTTTAAAACTATTTCTTCTATTCAAATAATTGGTTTTGATATATATATATATATATATATATATGTATATATATATATAATTATTTAACTAAAATATGTTTTGAAATTCAAATTTTTCATACACCATGATATCTATTACTATGCAAAACTTATACATCCAAAGTGTTACCTTTAAAAAGAAAATAAAGTAAATTAAAAATGGCATATTACAAATATAGTATATTACACTTAGTTAATTTTATATTTTGATAAAAATTCAAGTAAAATGTATAAAAAAATAAATAAAGAGCATCATGTATTAGCCTAAATTTTATAAAAATAATATTGTAAGAAAATAATTATATTTTTGAAATCTTGAATATATCCAATAATATTATATATTTTATCAAAAAGATAAATGTTATTGAATGATATCTTTAAATTTACTTACAATACTTAAAAATTAAATTCTAAGTTATGATATAATTAATATTTAAATAAAGTAAAAAAAAGTAAGAACGAAAAAGTTATAATTATGATTCTTGTTATATTTTTATTTTTGCAACTTAATTTATTTCAAATCTAAAACCATAAATCAACTAGACATATGTCATTGATTAATATCATTTGAAAAACTCTACAAATAAAATTATTTCTAAATTTTTAATTTAAAGTTTAATTTTTTAAAAAATATGTGTTTAAATTTATATAATGGCTAACAAAAAATTGGAATTAACAATAAATGTTTTACAAACAGGCCTTTGAATAATTAGATTTTTTTGATATTTATTAATAATTTTTTTTAATAATTTTAAAATAATAATAATATTTTATTTAATTTTTATGGGATTTTATTGGCATTTACCTATAAAAAAATCTGAACTATGATTTATATAATAAGATTAGATTACTACAAACTTAATATTACAAATGATTTTAAATGGTTAAACTGTAAATTTAGAGATTAAAAACCTGATTATCAATTTTTTTTAATTTCACATCTAAACTTTAGAATATTTCAAAATAAATATTTAAATTCTAAAATTAAAAATAATTTTTTGGTTTTATTTAAATAAAAATAATTTTTACTTTAAACAAATGATAGTCAAATGATTTTTTCATAAAATAATTATTATTTTTATATTATTAAATTTAAAAATAAAATTTAAATAATAGTTGTAAAATTTTAAAATTATATTTAATATTAAAAAATTCAAATATATAATTAATGAAGTACTAGCTACTAAATGTATTGTACAGGCATAGTTTTGTTTCTTAGTGCAAAAGAGATTTATTGTCTTTAAAATAAAATTTTAGCATATTAAAAAAAAAAAGAATAGTAAATTATAAAAAATTCTAAGCTCTTGTTTATTAATTCCACTATCTTCACGGTTTTTTTAAAAAATACTCTATAGTATAAAAATATTTCACAATATAATTGGTACTATAACCGGTTTCAAGTTCTACTTGTGTTCAAAAATATTCAAGACTTTTAATTGGCTCTAGGTACTACTTTAAAATTTAAATAAAACAACTAAAAGAAAAAAAAATGCTAATAAAAATAGATATACATGGAATAAATAATTATTATTATAAAAGAATAAAAAATAAAAAATAATTTTCTTATATTGGGTTAAAAATTAAGTGATGTAAATATTTTTTAATTAAAAAATAAAATTGGAACTAAGATTTAATATTCTATTTAAATAATCGGTTTTCTTGTCTTCATTAAAAACCACTTCCAAAAAATATTATTTCTCTTCCTTTCCTTTAAGTATCTCCCTTAATTTTAAGCAATATTAAGTCATTGAGATTCTTCTATTGGCCTATTCTTAAGGATATAAATCTTGAAAAAAAATTAAGGACATAATTTATCCTTGTGTTACTAAAAGAGAGGAAGTAAAAAAAACAAATTTTAAGAGACACGTCAGCTTATAAATATATTTCTAAGATCATTTAAAAAATGAGATAGATAAAAATCAAGTGAGAAGAGTGAACCAAAGTTTTATTAGAGGTGGTTGATAAAATTGGACATTTTTATGGACAAGATATTACTAAATGTTTTTAAGCTTTTATATGTGAAATAAAAATACATAAATTTTATGAATCTAAAATAATTTCTACTTTTGAATTAATTCTTATTTTAAAGGTCCATGATAGAATAAAATAATATGAATAACATAGATAATTTTGATATTTAAGAAAGAAAACAGAAGCTTTTAATGAGAGGAATTCTTTGATGAAGGTGTAAGAGGGTTACAAAAAGATCATTTTTTGACAGAATTGAAGAACAACTAAAGCAACATTTGGCTACTCATGAGTTTGAGGAATTTTTTTTATTTAAGTCTCATCTTCTGAGATACTTTTCTTGGTTGCCAAAAAAATGACAAAAATATTTTTATAATTTGCTAATGATATATTCGATAATTGATACTTTTTTCATTTAGCTAAAAGAAATGTAAGTGGTGGTTTTATTAAAGATAATTATTAGTTGAAGGAAAAATGTTGAGTCTATGATCTTGATTTTAAAACAAAGGTATATATGGGCTATGTAAATATGAATAAATGTCTATTATATCTTCTATTATATTCTTCTAGTAAGATCATACTATACAATACAATTGAGAAATTATTATTTTTTAATACTACAATATGTTTTTATTTTAAAATAATATATATTTTAAATTATTCTAATTACCTATAAATTCAAAAGTAAAAATTTAGAAATAATATATTTTATATAAAAATAAAGAAAAAAAAATCTACAAAAAAATTTGAATATTTCTAAAATAGAATAAGTTTTATTTAAAATTAATAATAAATCACACCTTAACATTTATAATATTAAAAATAATTAAATTTTAAAAATATAAGTTTTTAAAAAGCTTAATCTATTTATTATTTAGAAATAGATAATTTCAATAGTACATTAATTATTATTTCTAAAATATTATATTATAATATAATTATATAGTAAAAATATTTTTAAAATAAATTTTTAATTAATATTCCATCTTCTTTGTTCAATAAGAATTCAAGACATTTAAACAAGGCTTTATGAAAGCCTCCTAGTTTATTTTGCTTGTCTTAATATCTAATGGATTAAAGTTAGTTAGTAATTTCTTCTTTAAGGCTAAGTTTTTATGTAAAAATGCTTCTATTACTTTAAAAAGATCATAAAATTGTAAAGATGAAGTGGGTTAGATAAAATAGTTGATATTATTGAAACTAAGTATAGGATTGTACTAAAAGAAACTTGAAATTGGTTGGAATGATACTTGGCAGACATTTGTTTGTAAGTCATGATTAAAATCAAATCCATAATTAAAACAATTGCATAGGGCAAAGTATAAGGGCATTGGAGATTGACACATAGGATTAGCAAGCTAATTTTGAACTTCTTTTGGATGCAAGAAGTTTTTTTTTATTGATTTAAATATGACTATAAAAGAGTTATTTAAAGTCAAGGTTTATATTTGCAATTAGCATTTGATACAAGAAAAATAAGTATAGCATTCTTAGCTAGTTTATGCATTCTAAGTAACATCTACAATAGGAATTTCTTAAGAGAATGATTGATTGTGTGTAGTATATGTGTATAAAAACCTATGTCATAGTGATGGTTTAAATAAAAGATATCTAATCATAAGTTCAAAGAGGTCCTAAATTTAGAATATTTTAGGATTAGATGGAATTTTTGTAATTTTTAAAGATCCACTAGTTAGAATGAGATTAAATTTGGCATACAGTTATAAACCTTAATAACCAAGCTATAAACCGATTTCAAACAAATATCAACAATTGGAAAAGAATAATTGATATTGGAACTTCTTCAACAACTTTTAAGTTAATGATTGACAGACATTACTATGGTATTTTGGTATTTTCATACAATTTGTATCTTGGATTGTGCTAAATTTTTGTAAGCATGTAGAAGGCTTATAGTAGTATTAGTGTGCAAAATTTTATACCATTTGAATTTTCAAAATAAGAGCTATGCCTTGCTAAAATTTGTTGACTATGATTAATATTTTAAAGAAAATTTTGAGGTTTTAATAGGATAAAATTAAAAAATTAATTATAATTTATATATGCTTGTGGTTATTAAAAAGATTTTTTTGAGAACTTTATAATAACATTAAATATTATTAGCTTTAAATTATATGACATTATTCTTGGTAAGTCAAAATCTATAAGGGTTTTTTAAAAAGTTGCAAAATTCAAGTTCACCTTCCATAGTCAAGTGCTCTTGCATTCTCAAACAAGACAACATATATAACAACAATTTATAATTCTCAATCGTATATATATATATATATATATATTATTTATATTAAGTACATTACCACAATCAATCCATCTAAAAGGAAACGACTACTACAATTCTTTTTTTAAAATGTATAACAAGAAAGAATTTAAAGGTGAAGAATTCTAGGTTTTAAAGCAATATTAAAATAAATTATAGCATTTTGTTAGACCTTCCCTCAGGGAAATTATGTTGTTTGCAGGAGAAATAGTTGTGGCTTGTGGGTGCTGCGGAGAAGAGGGTGCTGCGGGGACAGATAATGAGGGGGCTAGGGGTCGTAGCCATAGTTGCCAGAGAGTGCAGAACAAACAAACAATTAAAGGCACATCTTAAAGGCACGAGCTTTGTGCTGCATACAAAACAAACAAAAGTAATAGAACCCAAGGGCCTCTGTGAGAATAGAAATAGCTTATCATACTCAGGGTACAT